TAAATCTTTTTATATTATTATTCTATTCTCTTTTTTTAAATCGTTTTTATAGTAATATTTAATAAATTTGTTAAACTGATCTTTTAAGTTGCATATAATTTCATAATTTTTGTGTACAAACTAACTTTTACATTTGATGACCACTTATTTTTAATCATTAATATGCTTATATCCTAATGTCAGAGCAGGTTGTATTTATTTTATTGCAAATAATTAAAACAACCTGAAGTAAAAAAAGAAATAGTTGATTGTAAGAAATTAACAGTTGATTTTTTTTTAAATAAACTGTAGTGTAGATAGGCACATCAAAAAAAAGTAAATATTCCAGAGTTGCAATTCTACTATTTTTTGTTTACTTTTGCAAATAACAATATTCCATAGATTAAATAAAAAAATTAAAAACAAAGACAAAAAAAGAAAGTGATATTTTGAAACATTTTTATTAGTGTATATTCTAATTACAAAAAAAATTATAAAACTGTATTTAATTTTTAAACTCAACAAAAATTTACATATCAGTTAAAATTTCAAATTTTTTGTATAGTTCGTTTTTAAACTTGTTCAAATTTGAGCAATAGGTATTAAAGACTTTTAATAGTATTTCCTCTGACTGAAATTGAATAGAGCAAGTTTCATCCTGTTTAATAACAATTTTTTTTTCGTTCTTTTTGTTGTTATTTTGGTTCAATGTTAACTGTTCGTCCTCCTCCACTGGAAAATAGTTTTTCATCTTTTCCAAAAATAAAGCATTTTTTTTGTAACTGGTATTTTCTTTAAACTTTATTTCTTTTTTTTTTGACAATGATAATTCTTCAGTATCTACTTTTTTTATCTTTTCAAAAAAAATTTAAAAAATAAAAGAAAAAGGTTAAAATATTATTGTTTAAAAAAAAAAAAACAATTTTTAAAAGAAAGTTAAAAAAAATAAAAAAAAAAAAAACTTACCATTGAATTTGATACAGAAAATAACTTAAAAACAATACCCTTTCCAATTTTAAATTTATCCGGTAAACAAATTATAAGAAAATTCTTTTCTAAAACACAGTAATAACTCTGCTTTTCAATTTTACAAGGAAAAATTTCTCTTTTGCCTAAAAAGGAATTAAAAAAAAAATTAAAATTAATAAAAAAAAGAAAATATTAAAAAAAATTTTTTTTTTAAATTGCTATTTAATTATTTTTTATTATTTTAAAACTTACTTAAATCAATGGTCTTTCCCACTTCAAATTCAATGCTGTCAAAAAGTTCTTTTTCAAAAAAATATATTAATTCTTTGTTTTTTTCTTTTTTTTCCAAGACTTCTAAACAGTTTTTGCAATAAAAAAATAATTTCGTGGTAAAAAAGATTTTGTGGACAAAAAAATCTTCCTCTTCCTCCTCTTCATCAGCATCAATTTTAAACAAATTTTCACTCTGCTGTTTTTTTAAATTAGATTGCTTTTTTTTTAGTTTTAAAATTTTTAAATCTTCGTAAATAAAATCTAAGGAATTGATAAATTTGGTTTTTAGACATTGATATTCAAATACTTTAATATTTTTTAAGAATTGAAAATATTTTTCTTCATCTATTATTTTTCCATCCGCAATTTTGCCTTCCACATCCTCCGCATTAAACAAATTTTTGAACTTGAATTTTAAGGTTTTTTCTATTTTTTTTTTCCCCACCTGATAATAAAAGAAAATATAGTTCAATTTTATTTTTTTAGTTCAAATTAATTTTTTTTTTTTTCAAACCTTTAATAGTTTCATGTGTTCCTCTAATAACGGTTTTGATTTTAATCCTGTCCCAGTAGAACATAAATCAATAAAAAATTGAAAACATAACTGAAAAGTAAAATAATCTAAATTCTCAAATTCTAAATTGAAAAATAAGTAAATAAGCAAAAAAAAAAAAAAAAAAATTTTTTTTTTTTATGTTGTACCTTCCTTTTCAGCAATAATCACAGAAATCAAGATTTTTACCAAATTTCCGTTATATGGTAATTCTTCAGAATCCGAATTAAAATCTGATTCACTACTGCCTAGTAAATCCTCCAATAACAACTTTGATTTAGCAAATTTTCTAGGAAATAAATCTAATTGTTTTAAAACAGTCTGGGAGATTTTACTGTTTACAATTTGATATAAAAATGCTATCGCCATAGTGAAATTTTTTGAGGGATGTTTAAACTTAACTAAAAAATCATTTAGAGATATTGAAATTGGATTATTTGAAATTGGGGAATTGGATCTTTTTTCTGTCAGAGTAGCTGTGGAAATTTCTACTAAGGTTAAAAAAAAAAAAAAAAAAATTAAATTACAATACATACCAACTGTAAATATTTTTTGCAAAATTAAATGCAACAAAAATGAATGTTGTAATCTGTTAAACAAGTGCTGCAAAATATATAACCCAACAGAGCAATCAATTGAGTTTTCATCATCCTTTAAAACATATTCAATCCAAATACTTTTAATAAAATTCTCAAAAAAACTGTCACCTAATTACAATTCAAAGAAGAAAATAAAAAAAAATATTATAAACATAAATAGAATATATCTTTGTAATTTGCTTACCTATAAGTATTAATCTGTCTTTTTTTAAAACATTCAACAAATCCTCCAAAACAAACAAAATTTCTAAAAAATTTTCCAAGTGAAATTTTGTTAAATTAAGATTCAAATTTAAAATTAAATGATAAAAGTAATTATCCTAAATTATAACAAAAAAAAAAAAAAAGGAGTTTGCATTCACGATTACTTAAAATAGTTAATTTATGCATACTAAATACTTGTTTAAGGTTTTCTCATCTTGAAGACTTAGAAGGTTAATTAAAGTCAAATGGCATGTAACATTGACCATCTTATCAGATGTGGAAGTCAGTAACCTGTACGTTAATTCAAAAATTGGAAGGGTTGAGTCATCTCCACTAATGTTTTTTTGTCTAACCTATGATTAAAATAAAAAACAAAAAAAATCAATAAATTCTTTTTTTTTTTATTTTTTTAACCAATATGACTGAATCTTTTGTCAATCTGGTAGAAATTAATTTTAGAAAAGAAACAATTGCTGTTATTTGATCCTCGTCTTCCAAATTTAAATTTTCTTGAAAATAGTTGATTATTTTATTTACATTTTGTAAAGAATTATATAAAAATGATAGATCTTTTAATCCTAAAAAAAAAAAAAAGCTTTTTATTTAAAAAAGAGAATAGAGTTAAGAAACGTTACCTTCAAATAAAATTGAATAAAATTTTAATACTTTTAATGAGTCAGATTTTATGTTTTTGATAATTTCTTGAGAAACTTTTTGTTCAATAAATGTTGGAAAATAAGTTTGTTCATTTTTTAATAAATCATTTGCTAATGTTATTAAATTTTTGAAGTTTAAGTTTTGAAACTCTAATTTAATTTTGGATATATTCATAAAGTTTAATTTTTTTTTTTTTTT